ATGATTAAAGTTAGGGCACGTAGTAGTTACATTATAACAGATATGATCTGTGATTCAGAAAGGGAGGACTGAAGAACTGCAACACAGGAAAGATTTACTTATTTAGCCAATGCCTGCTTTGGTTATAGATCTTAAGTGAGAGGATTGACTGGTGATGGGTGGTTAACTGCAAATGATCACATGAGTCAGTCTTCATGGAATTTGATGTCTTCTATTGTCTTGCTCAGCTTTTAATGCTTGTTCTCTGACCTCATGTTGCTGCTGTTGTTAATGCCACTGAGTTGATTCCAATTCATAGCTACCCTGTATAGGGTTTCTGAGGAGTGGCTGGTGAATTTCAATGCTGATTCAAATGTGGTTTATTTGAACGCGGTTCACATCAACCTTGCAGTTCAGTTCTTGTTGTTCAGTCCGTGACATTGTTGTTGTTGCTCTGTTAAGTGTCATCAAGTCGGTTCCGACTCATAGTGACCCTCTACAGGGCTTCCGAGGAGCAGCAGGTGAATTTGAACTGCCAACTGAACTTACGGTTCAAATTGTCTTGGCGGTCCAGTGCATTATCTCACAGTGCCACACCATTGTTGTTGTTGTTGTTAAATGCCGTCGAGTTGGTTCCTACCCATAGCAACCCTGTACAGGGTTTCCGAGGCTGTAAATCTTTACGGGAGCAGAACGCCTCATCTTTCTCCCATGGAGCAGCTGGTAGTTTCGAACTGCTGGCCTTAAGGTTCACAGCCCGATTCGTAACCACTACGCTACCAGAGCGCACCATAGCAAAGTACAAATCAGCTCTCTGTCTCTAGCTATCAGATCTACCACCCAGGTTAAAGGTAGGAGAAGAGCAAAAGCCTCTTATAAAAGTCTTGTTTTTCTACTTAATAAGGAAGCCTTCCTCAGAAATTCCAGCCTGTTTTCCATCGACCTTATCTGTGGTATGTGGCCATCCCTTGCAGCCAAGGAGGCTAGGAATTTGAGTTTTTGCTTCCCAGTCTTTATGAAGTAAAAGGCATGGAAAAACCAAGTAGGATGTGTGTTGAATGAGCCTATTAGAGAGTATGTGCAGAAGTAACCCACATAATCACTATTCAATTACCTGCCTGAAGAAGTTGTTAAGTGCCACCGAGTTGATTGAGACTCATAGTGACGATGTATAGGGTTTCCGAGGAGCCACTGGTGAGTTTGAACTGCTGACCTTTCGCTTCAAACCAACCTTGTGGTCCAATGCTTATCCTACAGCGCCACACCTGCTAAACTAGCCTAGAGGGCTCAGACCACCTAGTGCCTTCTTTTTGATCTTAACTGTTATCTTCAGCAAAACTTCTTATTTTTATTTTATTTTATTTTTGCTGTTATTCAACATGCTCTTTCCAACCAAGCCTTCACACTTTTGTTTAAGCTCTCCTTGCTAAGGGGCTATAAATTACTCTTACTGCTGTTGTAAAATATCGTCCAGTTGGTTTTGACTCATTGTGACCCTGTATAGAATTTCCAAGGAGCAGCTGATAAGTTTGAAACACCACCACACCAGAACTTAGAAACCCTATACAGGGTCCCTATGAGTTGGAACCATGTTCCGGCAATGAAGGCTTTATGGAAAGAGAATGACATCATCTTGGGGTTTAGAAAAATCAACCTGGAGAATAGCCCCGGGCAGGGAGTGAACAGGCAGGATTTGGGAGCTGTGTTCAGAGCTGTTGCAGTAGTGGAGATGGAGAGAAAGGGTGGATGAAAAGGTTGTTAAAGAGGTAAGAGACAGGGCCTGTACTCCAAAACGGCTAAATTCAAAGAGATTATGCAGTTTGTCTAGTGTTTCATAGCTCTGTGACAATAGATAGTAACTTATACCTACGTCTCCTGATTCCAGATCTAAGAGAAGACCATGCACCACCTGACACTCTTGTCCTGGACCCACATTCCCAGCAGACCTCTCTAAATCGCCATTGCAGTGGCCAGGAGTCTAACTGGCCAGTGGGCTTGAACATGGCAATGATGATGAGGACGGTGCAGGACCAGGCACTGTTTGGTTGTTGCCCATTGGGTCACTATGAATCAGAGCTGACTCAATAGTACTTAGCAACGAAATTGGCCAAGAACCTAGCTTCCCATATGCTGTTCCCAGCCAGTGCCTAAGTGCTACATGGAATCAAGAAAGCCCTGTTCTTAGAACCTCTGACCGCTGAACTCCTCTTGCTAAACCTTCCTTAAAATACACAGCAGGGCCGGACTCTTCCACCCAACGTGGATTCCCGGTCTCCCTCAGTGTCAGAGTTTCACCCTGACCTGTCCACTCTCTCAGCCTTTCCCAGTTCTCTCCTCATTTTCTCCCACACAGACGTTTCCCTAAATAATAATAATTATAAAAAGCATTGAATTCTGTCCTGGAGGACTAGACTACAACACCTACCTTAAAAGAACTGGTTCTAGAGACGTCTACTGCCTTTCTACAATTTGATCTCCATTTGTTACTTAATGGAGAAGTTGGGCTTTTACAGTGCTGGACCTACTCTGATTCAAACAACTTGTACTGTTTTCTGCTTTTTATCTTACATGAGTCAGAAAATTTCCTTCTAAATGCTGAAAGTGCTAAGAGGATACAATATATTCTTAAGAGAGTAAAAGACTCCCCAGCATGGTGTAACTTAAAAAGCTATTCTTTTATGCCATGACTCTTAGTGCCTTTTGGTGCAACGGCACGGTGAAGATCGCATCCACTTGTTTCCAAGGAATCGCTGACATCCTAGGAAGCATTTACTGAACAACTGTTGAAGCACAGAGCTCACTCTTAAAACCTCCCTTTCACCAGCCTTCCTGTTTTTCTGGGATCAGATTTTGGGGCCAAAGTCCTCATGTTACATGAAACTGCTGTCAAACTAAAGTAGGATTTCTTGGGCAAAATTAGGCAAGGGCAATGTGCAAAATGCCCATGTTGGCTTTCTTACTCTAAATATTGCAATCAAAATGTGAACTTTTGATAAGGAGAGAAAACCGGAGCATTTTCAGGAAATCTAAATGTCTTCACAAGTCACGAAGAAAAACGGTCACTTAAAACACTCAAATGCTCTCTTTAGCTACTTTGAAAAACTTGTAAAAACACCAGAGCTTCATGCTCGTTAAAAACCCACTTTTGTCCTGATGTAACTGCTCAGATTTATCCTGAAACGTGAAGGACAAAGCAATATCTTAAGATGACATTTTTCCCCCCAACTAAAAGTTTTCTTTAAAAAATATCAATAAAATCTTACTTTAGAGCAGTGACTGGAAAGCGTCCGCAGATTCCAGCTCCAGCAACACACTTAAGACCTTTGTGCAGAAGCAAGTCAGGCGCTTGAATAGTGCATTCTGGGATTTGTAGTTCAAATTTCTATTATACTTGCTAGTTTGTTTTCTTTCAAAGTTTAAAAAAAGGGACCACAGGATTCATGAACTTTATGTGTGTTCATGCTGCCATCTAGTGGACCATAGGTAGAACTGCTAGCTCTAACTTGAAAATGAAGCGCAACCAAAGCAAATCAGTTGCTCCAGAATCCGTTCATACTCATGGCAAACTCATGTATATCAGAGTGGTTTTGTTCCCTAAGGTTTTCACAGTGACTGATTTTTCAGAAGTAGATCTCTTGGTAGATTTAAACCTCTGCTGAGTTTGCACCACCCGGGAACACACAGGGGCTCAGTGATTTGGCACAGGGGCAGCAGCAATGGGCTCAACAGCTATGAGAATGGAGCCAGACCGGCTGTTTTTGTTCTGTTGTGTATAATAAGGTCGTTATGAGTCAGAATCGCTCGATGGCACCTAACTAACAACAACAAAGGGAATCCATGCTTACTTAAAAGCAACAAAACCGACTGCCATCAGTTGGTTCAGACTCATAAAGACCCTATGGAGGGCTTCAGAGTGAGCAGCTGGTGGGTCTGAACAGGCTACCTTGCAGTCACAGCATAACCAATTACGCCGCCAGTGCACCTTTATAGCTTACTTAAGGTAATGTTGAAATCATTTCTTTCACTGTAATTGTTGAGTGGATTTTGACTCAGTGACCCGTTATAGGGTTTCTGAGAGGAGCTGGTGGGTTTGAACTGTCGACCTGGCTGTTAGCAATCCACTGGTTATCTCACAGTGCCACACTGTTGTTATGTGCTGTCAAATTGGTTCAACTCAGAGAGACCTTGTATAGGTTTTCCAAGGAGCAGCTGGTGAGTTTGAACCACCGACCCTCTGGCTCGCAGTCCAGTGCTTATCCTATAGCGTCACACTAGGAGTCCACAATGCCACATTGATTGTTGGTGAGTGCCATCAAGTATATTTTGACCCATGGAGACCCTGTATAGGATTTCTAAGGAGCAGCAGGTGAACCTGAACAGCTTATCTTGCAGTTCAAACAGCTTTGCAGCCTGGCCCTTAACCTACAGTGCCATGCCAGGGCTCCTCATAGTGCCACATTTTTGTTAAGTACCATGGAGTAGTTTCCAACTCATAGTGACCCTGCACAGGGTTTCCTAGGCTGTAAATCTTTACGGGAGCAGAACCCCTTACCTTTCTCTTGCGAAACCTCTGGTAGTTTCAAACTGCTGACCTTGAGGTTGACAGCCCGACTCGTAACCACTACACTGTTGTTGTTGTTGTCAGGTGCCATCGAGTTGGAACCGACTCATAGCGACCCCATGCACAGCAGAACGAAACAATGTCCGATCCTGGGCCAACCTCACTAC